TCTAGTTACCAAAGCCTCTTCAAGCTAAGCCTCACCCCCTGGGAGTATGAGTTTGTTCATTAACTGTTTCTGCATATAAGTAAGGTCTGGCTTCTAATTCTCCAATTCTGTTCATTTCTCTCTTCTTGGGCCAGTGCCACACTGTGTTAATTGTATCTCAAAAATGCTTTAATACCTTTCTTTTCAAAGTGTTCTTATTCTTGGCTTTGTATTCATCCAAATAAACATTAAAGTCATTTTCTCAAATGTCTCAAAACATTTCTAAGTCTTACAGTTTTCTTCCTAAACATCACACACATTTCTTACTAAGTCTGTGTCTAGGTGTGTGGTGGTGGTGTTGGTGGTGGTGGTTGTGACTGTCATCACTGCCTTTTCTCATATTTTCAGTGGGATCCACTGAGATGGCGGCCTCATATTTGTGAAATGGAATAGCAAGCCCATCTGAGCAATTGTACTCCTTTCAGATATGGAGATTAAACACCAAAAATGGAATTAGTCTGTAAAAGCTTATAAATTGATGATGATAATGGTATCTCCCTGTAAATTTGTGCGATTAAAAGAAGTAAATGCTTTTAATTGATTGATTAAATTAATTAAATGCTTAGAACAGTGCTTGGCATACAGTAAGTACTCTTTACATGTTAACTGTTATTTTCATCATCATCATTATTATTAATTTGAGTAGTAGTAGTTTACTCATTACCATGCCAGAAGCGAGATTTGGCCCTGCTGCCCATTGGACAAGGAGTCATCCCTGCCTGGTGGTTCCCCACCCTCAGAGAAGAAAGAGAGCAGGGACAGTCCACCCCTTAGCTTCACAAGCAGAGCCAGATGTCATCATCTCTCCCATAACTTTCAGCATATCGGGCCCCTCCTTCTCACACTAAACTGCTCTGACCAGCTAAAAACATTCTGGGCCCTCCCTAGGTGGGAAACTATATCCTCAGGGCATAGCTGATGAAAGAATGGACTCAAGTCCAGCTCACAAAGCTCAAGTTCAAAACTAGGTGGTGGTCTCAGACATCCCTGGCACCCTCTCTCCACAAGTGTGGGTGGATTTAAGATTACAAAATCTTAGAGTCTCACAGCTGAGGTGATGAGCCTTGGAGATCCTTGAGGTCAAGACCTGAGATCCTCTGGTATTCAACTTGACAGTAGATGAGCCATGCACATAAGTAACATTTAACGAGCTCTGAGCACATGCCTGGTACTATTCTTATTTCATACCCCGACAGAATAAAGATATTTAATGTATTTGGGCCCTAGGAAGTATTTGGGGCAAATGGTACATTTTCTTCAAGTTTAATGTCTCATTTGATTCCCATAACAACCCAGTGAAGTAGGCAGGAAGTAGCAGAGGCCCTACTTCAGTGTTCCCACTGCCCCCTCCCAGCCTCCCCCGCCTCCCCCAGCTATTGAGACCAGCTCCTCTGAGCCTAAGTCAGGTTGAGGTGTGTTGAACAGGAGACAGCACATTGCTTCAGATGAGTAAGCAGTGAAGACATTTCCCCAGTAGGTTGTTTGTCTAATGAGCCTCTGAGTTCACGTGTTTCTAGGCCATCCAGTCATACCATCTACTTGCAGTTGAGTGATCTGTGTGTTTTCCTAATGGACTCTAATGCCAAGTCCTAACGTTTATAGAAGTGTGATCAGGTTTAATGATCAGTTTATGCATGGTAATCATCTGATGTGGCTGTGTAAGTCAATTTCAGATTCTGGAGGGACTGTAAATTGAAGCTGTTAATTGAACTTCCTCACTTCCATTGACCAGCCAGTTCCCCTCATCTGCAGCTTGGAAGTGACATGCTCTGTCATTAGCACCACTGCATCTGTCCCCATCTGGCCCCCTGATGTGTGCTGACACATTTTATAGCCCAAATAAATGCAACAGAACTGTTCCACAAACGTTTATTGCCTCATCTGTATCGTCCTTGTTGAGGTAACATTTTAATATTTCCCTCTTTGCAAGCTTAATACTTTTCCCTTGCCTCTTCTGTAATTGCTCTGGGTTAATCCTGTATACCCTTGGATTATAACTGTCAACCTCTAGTTGGGCTGAACTTAAATCATTTCATTTTGTTTAACAGTGAGTAAACTTTTTGTTACAGTAAATGGCCCTGTCGCTATTTTCATTGACTTGCCTTTATTATTTCCCTATTTCCACTAGGAACTCACCACAAAGCACTTCATAATCAGTTAGATCTAGGATTTTGAACTAGTGGACATAGAGCCCTGTACCCAGAGATACCAGACTGTGGTATTTTTAGTTCTCAAGTACTAATGAGCACCTGGCATGGTCCTCACCTATGCTGTGAGGCAGCTGACTCTTCCTCCTATTCCCCGTCAGTCCCTGATACTCCTGCAAAGGAACTGAGACAGGCACACAAATGGTGACAGTACAAGGCCAAACCAGTGTCACATGGGTGGCACAAATATATATAGTATTTCCAGGGAATCTTCAGCCACTGTCCCAAAGGGTGGATGGGCTTTTGCTCAGTGGATACTGAGTATTTCCTGGGGGAGCAAAGACATAGAAGATACAAGACATGAGGTCTCATGGTGTCAGGGAGAAGTTCATGGCACATGGGAGGGTAGCAGTCATTAGAGGACTGTAAATATCAGACCAAGTGGCCTGGATAGATGAAAAGATACTAATTTTTATTCCCCCCTTAACATCACTAACATTGAGATCTTAATTCATTCTTCCCTTCTCTTCCCCATTGGCCATAGAAGTGTCACATCTTAATAGAATTTTAAAAATCTAATTCATACTTCAATCAACCTGGACTATAAATTTGAAGGTTTGTTTTGATTTAAAGTCTCCTAAACATGAGTTTTAGATCACCTCTTCATTTTCATTCTGCAACTTCCTTTGTAGCCTTTCATGGGGAACCAATTGGGACTGAGTCATCCATGTCACAGCTACATTTCTTGCAAGAGAACACCTGCCCCCCAAAGGTTCCATCCCTATATTGGTGGACTTTGGGAAACACGCAGTATATTAAAACTATGTTAGTGGGGGTTTCTGTCAGGAACACAGTTGAAGGGCCACACAGCAGGAGAACCCTGTGTTCTTCTTACCCATCCATCGAGAAGGTGGCCATCAGCACTCACAGCATACACAGTGGTTCCGTGGGAGGAGATGTGCTTGTACTGTGGCTGAATGAGCTGCCCAGCCTTCTCACAGTCCACCAAAGGCAGTGTCAGCTGGACAAAAAAAATGAACATTTTTGAAAGTGGTTTTGTAATATCTGTCAGGATCCATTAAAGTATTCAGACCTGTTCACCTAATATTTCCACTTCTAGAAAGCTTTTATAAGAAAAAACAGATGTGAATAAAAATTGTACTTTTATAAAGAATATAAAATGTGAATGAGTAAATAAATTATGCTGTTTCTTTTTAATAGAATATTATGTAGTTATTAAAAATATTCTTTCAGCCCTGGCTGGTGTGGCTCAGTGGATTGAGTGCTGGCCTGCGAACCAAAGGGTCGCCAGTTAGATTCCCAGCCTGGGGCACATGCCTGGGTTGCAGGCCAGGTCCCCAGTAGGGGGCGTGCGAGAAGCAACCACACGTTGATGTTTCTCTCCCTCTTTCTCGATCTCTTCCTCTCTTTCTCTAAAAATAAATAAATAAAATATTTTTAAAAAATAAATGAATAAAATTTTTTTGAGATTGTGTGTTTGTGTGCATACACACACATTTTAAAGGAAAGATGAGTATTGGGCAGGCCCCAATTACATATATGGTTGATTACCTCAAATTTTAATAAATATGCTACAGTACCCTTTCATTGGAGTGTTTGTGATTACTACTACTGTGTGACAGTGACATGAAATTAATGCTATGAAGAAGTCAGCATTGTTAAGGGAATTGGTGGAGGGGCAGCCTTTTGGAAAAAGCACTAGACAGATTCAAGTCTTTGATCCTCATGGATTGATTTCTCTGAGACTTCTTTCCTCAAACCAAAAAATTCAGGTAGTGATTCCTATGTCTACACAGGTCGGTCTTGATCTTACTGTGGTTTGATTCCCCATTTTGTGTGCACCCAAGTGATTCTCTGGTCTGCTCCACTCTGTACTCTGTCACCTCCTTAGTTCAAGCCAAAATCATCTCTCTCCTGCACTCTTTTGAGGCTCTTGCCTTCACAATGAGATAAAGTAATCTCACCTTCTGTTTTTAACATTTCAAAATTTTCCTCAGAATGAGTTAGCATCCATGATCTGACCCTAGCCTGCCTTTTACTCTCTCTCTCTTCTGTACCCCAGCCCGTCCACACTCACACGGCTCATGATGTCTCGGACATTCTCCATAAGCCCAGTGCACCATGTGCCCTCAGGAACAGCTGCCTGTGTAGGGGTCATTGCTGCTGTCTGGAATGCACTTTTCGCCCCTCCCCTGGCTCCCACTTCTCAGCCCACTGTACTCCTGAGGCCTTGCTTAAGATCTGTCTCCTTATAAGTTTCTCTAGTCTTGCACGCTGCCCTCTTTGCTGGTACCTGGTAGGTCATAGTGAGGTTCTCTCGTTCCCTGTCTGTCTCTGCTCCTCGATGTGGAGCTTCTGAGAGGAGGAATCACATCTTCACACATCACCAGAGTAAAGTGTCTGGTACAGTAGGCTTTCACTGCTCGTTGCCCAAAGACAAGGGGCTGGGGCTGCCCTTCCGGCCTCCTGCAGGGTTTGCCGGAACTTTCACCCAACAAATATTTATTTTTTCTACTGTAGGGAACCAGCCTTTCACTGGTAGGAAGAACCCTGCCCTGTATCTCTATCTTCACTGCACAGCCATTGGCTCACCAGTACACCAGCTCAGTTCTGGTGTGCAGGAATTGGCAAAGGCAAATCTGGTGACTACACTTTTCCCACAGTACAGTTCCCAGCAGGGAACAGCCCTGTGATGGCAGACATTTGCATTTAAGTGTTAGAGATGCTCTTTCTGACTTTTCACTGCTAACGGAGTTCCATGGTTCTTGATCTGTGTCTTTTCTTTGCCTGCAGGTCCACATTGGCCAAATGTATGCAACTGACAAGCTTATCATTGAGAATCAAGAGAAGCCCAAGACCTAAAGACCACCACCAGCCACCATCAGCAACCGTGGACCACCTTCCACATCCATTCTGTGCTTAGGGTGGGGGCTCCCAGCAGACCACGAGCAGCCCCTTGCATCAACTTAAAACAATAACCTCTTGCTCAGCCTGCCCTGTAGAAACTGATAAATTGAATGAGGTTTCCATTCTTCTACAGCCTTAGTGGAAAAAGGTGGCTGTCTTTCCTTGGTTCAAGTGTCAGAATGAAGAGCTGGTGCTCACTCAAATTAATGTCGTGTATTATTGTGTCCCCTCTCCACCGCGCCCCTCTTTAGTAGCTCATCACCACTTGTACAGAGCATCTCCACACTTTCTTAGTCCTTAACAATAAACAGAATTGTCTCCCTAAGCCTGCTACACTAGATAAAGCACTTTCCTTTCCTGTTGCTGCAGGTCCTACAGAAGGCAATACAGGGACCAGGCGGGGAGGCTCCAATCCTGAGCTGAATCCTCCCTTTGAAAGCAAGTCTAGGACAGAAGAGATTTGGGGGATGGCAGGAAAGAGGGCCGGGCTGAAGGGCAGAGGGTGCACCCTGCAATTGACACCTAGGCACAATGCACCCACAAGGATGGCAAGTAGGTAGAAACACACCTATAGACAAGGAACTCCAGACCCTGACTGCTCAGAGAGCTCTGGATCCATACTGCCTGGGAGCAGAATCTCAAGGCCCACCTCAACCTTCTGAATCAGACCGGTCCCAGGTGCAGTGGAGGTTACTCCACTGCACCTGAAGTTCAAGAAGAGCTGCTATCAGCATTGCTTCCCAATGCTGCCAAAGTTCACCTACTGAGTCAGAATCTCCTGGAGATTTTAAGAGATTTAAAAAAGAAATTTCTCAGTGCTTCCCTCCCCTTGGATTCTGACTTAGTAAAGAGTGAAGCACAATAATTTAAATTTATATGTACATTTTTTAAAGCTCTCCTTGTGCTTTCAATGTTTAGTCAGCTCGGGAAACTCTGCTCTTTGAGTATGTTACAGGTAAAAGAAAATTGAATGGATTTGTCCTGGGAAATAACATCAGTTTAAAACATAGGAAGAAAGTATTAAATAACTTACTTCTGGAGATTTTATGAGGGACCCAGATGCTGTCTGAGTAATTTTTTGTTTGTTTCCTTTTGTAAACAGTACTAAGTGAATTCATTACTGATGGGTACAGGTTTGAGACGGGCTAATATAAATATTTACAGGTTCTAAAATAGGTGTGACAGTGTCACCAACATGCCACTGAACTGTCCCCTCCCCCCTGCCATTTTAATTCATATGCGTGGAGCATGAGCCGTCTGGGGCCGTCTCATCTGTGGGTTGTAGATAATGTAACAGTGCATTCAAAACAGATTAAACATGTAGCCATTCTATGTAGCAATACAGCTTGTAACTTGAGAATGCTTTTGCCCATGGATAAAGTCTCATGCACCTGTGAGACTAAACAATTCTTAGTAGGTCCCGTAGTCCCAGGGCTGCAGTGTGAGAATAAACATTCAGCAGACGGCCAGTGTCAGTAATGTGGGAAATGTTCTCTCCTCCTCCCACTGACTGCAGTGGGGTGAGAGCCTCCAACACCATGTGTGGCTCTGAGCCACCTTCCATTCTGCGTCAGTAGAGTTTATGGCCATTCAGCAGCAACTGCATTCAACAGCAGTGCCTGCTAACAGAGGTCACCTCTGATTTACACTTAAATAAAGGAGCTGCTGCTTGAAAACCCCTAAGTCCACATATGAACCTCTTTCCTACAAGTCTCAAATTTCTAGCAGGGTAATGACTTCATGGGAGACGTTTTTCTCCAGATTTTAGTCACAGAGACAGTGGACCCAGAAAACCTGACTTGTTCTGCAGGCCTTACACAGCGGGTGGCTTTTACATTAATTAAAGCACATGAATAGGCTTGAACGTGCCCAAAGCCGTAATAAACAGAGCTAATTTTTGTAACTCAAATAAGATTAACTGTGCATTTAGAATCTGTGCAAAGATATAAATGAGAATTCAGTGACATAAAACACGGGTCTTGAACAGAGATGCAGGCAGGCTGTGCCTTGTACAGAGTATTTCCCAATTCAGAGGACCCCAGGTTGGCTGTGGAGCCTTGAATAAAGTGACATTTCCATGGGGACAGTCACTTGTGTTTCTATAGCAAAGCCTGCCACTTACTTGACTAGACCCCTACTGACAGACTCGGGGCAAGGGGATTGATGGTTAGCCTCACCAAAGCCTGGCATGTGCAGCTGTTCTTGGAATTTAGGCTGAGTCTAAAACCCACCTTCCAGTGTCAACATTTAGCAAATAGGAAATACCACTATAAGTTAACTTCTGAGACAAAAACAACTGGTGAAGTATGGCTGTTCCCTCGATCTTCAGAGATAACATTCGATACCTGGGAAACCTTAAATGGCCAAGTGCACGCCAGTGTTGTTCTGGTGGCTGTTCTCAGGGCTGTGAACTGAAATATCTACGTGGATTGACAGACCTTGCTTTACATCTACTTTGCCCTGCCACCACACAGCAGTACCTCTAATCCCCTGCATGCACAGCTCACCCACCATCTCAAGTCCCCGAATACAACCAAAAGTGCAGTCTGCCATCCGAGAGCAAAGGGGGTGGGCTGAGATGAAGTCCACAAAGATGACAAAATGTCAGAGCTGAAATACTGAAGTTCACCTAGCCTAATACCCAAGTCTGCAGGTGTGAAAAAAGATCTAAGCATCTCCAGATCATTTGCAAGTCCATGCTGTTTCCCTTACACCCCTTTCACTCATCTTTTATCAGTATTGACCAAGAGCCAGCCGGTTCAGGTGCCAGGGAGAGACCAGTGAATAAGACACAGCCTCTGCCTTCACAGAGCTTACTGTCCACCTGAGGAAACAACAAGCCTAACATGTTACAAAGGGTGAAGTGCAGGTACTCTGGGACCCGATGATGAGGCTCAGGGAAGGCATCCCTGAAGAAGAAAGGTTGAAGGAGAGAGATCCAGTCTGCAGGGAGGGAAGAAGGGAGCAGAACAGAGCAGACAAGGCAGAGCAAGATCCTCCTGACTAGCAGCTTTGCACTTCTGGGCTTGCCATCCTGGAGAGGCCCAGCTGCCTTTAGATTCTACATGATACCCCACTATCCATCAAACCAGCTCTCCTATTTGCTCAAGCTGGCTTGAGTTAGTTTCTGTAACTTAGAGTTTGGAACATTGACCAATGCTGTGTTTTTGTGGAACTATGGGGCCATATTGAGGCCTGCAAGAAGTTAGTTCACATTCCTAGTAGGTAAGTTCCCCATGGAGAAGGGGACCCGGTTCCCGTCTCAGTCCCATAGAGGTACGTAACTGGAACTTGATGACAGGACCTAGGTGGGAGGAAAGGGCGCTTCAGCTCTTGCCAGATACTAAGAGGTCTCATGAGACCTCTTGAGAGACCAAGGAGGAAATGAGGAACCCAAGCAAAATCTTTTTTGTGTGGATGAACTCCAGATACGCTATCTTCCCTGTGTTCATACTTGTAGCAGTGCATGGTTAAGAGCAATGGGTCTGCGTCCAACTGTGCTGGGTTCACATCCAGGCTCAGTCTCTTTTTCCCTGGACACATTACTCAACCTCTCTGAGACTCAATTTCTTTAGCTACAAAATAGGAGTAATACCTATCTCTCAGAGTTGTGTTGGAGTCTCAAAGGGGGTGCCAATAAATAGCACCCAACCCAAGTATTGAAATAAGAAAAATGAGGGTCAGTAGAGACAGACGTCATCTTTATAATTGGTGTAGGCTACTCACAACACTGCCAAGCGTGAGATTCAGATGGGTTAAAAAAGTCCATGTGGCCAAGAAGACTTTATTCCAGGGAAGTGTGAGTCTGCAGAGTGTACACAGTACCCAACCTGTGGTCTCCCACTGGTGTGAAAGAAGTCCTACCCTCAGAACCTGTGATAGACGAGCTCCACCACCAATGACTGCCCTGCCCCCCAGGTCACTGTGGGCCACAATGAGGAGAGGGACAAAATAACCACAAGTGTGTGAGAAATGCCTGTCAGCAACCAGGAGTGTAGACAAGGTGTCTCCTCACCCCCACCCCGAGCTGATAGTTGTTCAAATTGAATAAAATAGTCCAGGCAAGTAGTATCCCATGTTATGGGTATCTAACCAAATAAAAATCAGCCATTCTCCTAGCAAGAGAGTGACATAATTGACAAGGTTAGGACATGGGTTCTGCCCACTGCTGCACTCGGGGTGCATGTCTCAAGGAGATGCGAGGTGGGATGTGTGGATCTGTTACTCCCTTGCCGTCTCCACCACACCTCAGCGGGGATGTGAAGATCTCCGAGTGCTGGCTGTGACTGCTGATCGCGCTGTTTCCAGTTTTTGACTATTACACACAATGCTGCAATAAACATGCTTGTACGTGACTCTTGTACGTGCTTATAAGGACAGAGTGTAAAAGGTGTTTTGAAAGACAGGATAGCAGACAGAAGGACAATCAGCCTTGAAAGAGACTGACAAGGAGCAGCCTAGGGGGAGAAAGTAAGTCAGGCGAGGTCTGTCACAGAAGCCTAAGGGCACAAAGAATGAATGTTCAACTCAACGACACCAAACTATTCAACAACACCAAACTATTCAACAACACCAAACTATTCAACAACAGGGCTCCCCCAAAGCTTCGTGAGACAGGAAGGATTATCTTTCAAGGAAATGCAATGGATGTAAGTCGGTGAACATACACAGGTTGTATACATTATGTCAACGACATGTATATGTAACACATCCCATCATAGGAGAACCAGGAAATAAGTAGCATGTTCATGTCCAGGCAATAAGAGCAGTTTGTGTCATTAGTACATTTGGGTCTAGTGTAATTTTTCCCCCAAATTGGAAGATGTATTTATTCTTTGTACATTCTGATGAAGTCAGACACCATTCATCCCTGGGATAGAATCAGTGGAAACCAGCTGGCAGTCAGAGGGAAAAGAAAGACAACGATAGATAATGAACACCTCACAAATAAATTGCTTTTGTGGTCACAACGGTCTAGTTAGGCCAGAAGGACCGCCCCCGTTTTGCAGATGTGAAACCACATGCTCACTAGGGAAAAGGACTTGCCTGAAATCACACAGCTGGCCAGCACTCAGCTGCTGCCTGGTGCAGGCCCGGCTCACCTCGCACCTGAGCAGGTTCCCACGTCCTGCCACCTGCCCTGCAGTGCCGCACAATCCCTCACTACATAGCACCCGACAACACTTTGTACGCTTCTCAACTGTAGG